GCCCGCTGCTCCCCTCAGCAGTGTACTTTGTCGATCTGCCTGTTCTGCTCCCCACTCTCTCTCTGGTGAACCCTTTCACCGCCCCTGCACCTCTGGTCTGTACCCCAGTTCTGTATGCATAAATCAATAAATCTTAAACTTAAAAAACATATATATTTAAAAAATCATGTGGAAAATAGTTTTTAAAAGCTGTTTTCACACAATTACCAATCTTGTATTTTCCTCACATTGAAAAATTTATGTTATTTTATGTTAATTCAATGATAAATAAGAAGGGATGCCATTAAAAATAATATTCATAGGGCCCTCCCTGGTGGCTCAACGGGTTAAAGCACAGCACTAAGAAGCTTAAGCCACTTACGCATGAGTTCGATTTCCGCCTGCCCCGCAGGAGATCCACGTGGCGCAGCAGACCTCTCCTGGCCCGCCCGCTGCTCCCCTCAGCAGTGTACTTTGTAAATCTGCCTACTCTGCTCCCTGCTCTGTCTCTGGTGAATCCTCCCACCCTCCACATCTCTGGCCAGTACCCTAGTTCTGTATGAATAAATAAAATCTTTAAAAAAAAAAAAATAATGGTCATAGAGACATTTCCTTTTTCTATTTCAAAGAAAGTAGTTGTTAATATCCAGCAACAAAAGGGGAAAATTGTGATATATTCAAATAGTGAAATCATACTTATCAGTGAAAATAAATTAGAACACTTGTTTCAAAATGGTAATACTCAATTGCAATGAACATAAAAACAAAGTGACAAGATACAGTTTAATTTCATTTATTATTATTTAAGGATACATACATAAAGGTAAAATGATAAAGGACAGAAAGAGGTCATAAAGGACAGAGCTCAAGAAAAAGCTTCCCTCTATCAAACAGGGGCTAGCACACCAAGCCCCCTAGAAGGAGACCACAAGCTAGTGGCAGGCACGCAAGAAGATATATATCCTATTTTAATGTGTGTGTGTATATTACATGGTATGCATATATATTCCATTGTATGTATGAAATAATTTTAAAACTGGAATAACTAACAAGCAAAGACAGATTATACACGATGCTTGAGGATTTGATGAATATCAACTGGAGTGCTTTGAACTTACCTCAGCTCTCATTCACCCTCAGCAGTGAGTGTTGCCTTTGCTTCCCAGTGTCTCTCAACCTTGAGGGAGACTACTGCTCTGCTTGGTCAGCACTCATAACATTCTAGGGGCTCAATCAACAGTTAGTGACTGAAAGGATGACCAAACTAGCCTGACCCACATTTCTAGAAGAACTAGAAAATTCTAAAAATCTGGGTTACAAGTGGGTGGTAATTTTGTTTTGGTTTCACAATTTAGCATGTTCCTGAAAACCTACAGCTTGCTCTTTTTTATCTCCTTCTTCACCCGCCCTCTGTCATGGTGTTTAAGTTTTGAAATAGTTCAGTGATGAAGTCAATCTCCAACTCTGCCTTTCAGAAATGTTTTTCTCTACTTCCTGAGAAGCTGTATCAACCAGGGCCTTCTATAGGACCTGGGGCTAGAGTGTCCTTGTTTTCTGCAGCCAATTATTGGAACAAGTGCACCAGCTATGGCTTCAGTGTACTCCAGGGTCACACCGTAATCCATCTGAAGCAAGCATGGGAAGAGTGATTTAAAGCTATGCTAGGGCATAGTCATTGAGATGATTCTGTGGTCACCTTCCAATACACACAAATTTAGATCCACATGTGCATCTGAAGGGTCAACAGATCTTTCTGTATCTTTACAACTAATTTTCTGCTTTCATGTATGTAGTTCACAGGTGGGAACAGAAATGCAGCATCCCAAGAGGAAAATTTCAACCTACACAGAACTAAAATTAGAAAAAAGGTATAAGAAATGGTAGGGCACAAACACTATTTTCAGAATATATTTTCTGGAATTTATTCCCCTTTAATGATGAATATAAAATTTGAAATTTCACTTATGCCTTTAGAGACAAATACATACACACTGAAATGTTAAAACAATAATTGCATGGATTAAAGTAGATGCTGACACCTAAGAAAAGCTTTTAAATTTCCAGAAAAAAAAAAAACTCTCATAGCAAAATCAAACAAATAAGGAAACAAACAGAAAGAGGCTTTGGTACCTTTGAATAACAGAAGACAAAAATAAGTTCAATTCATTAATACATTCATACAATATAAAAACATCTATATGGCGGATGACTTAAATCTATAAAACAGATACCAATCTAAAATATATTAGAAGGTAAGGGGGGAAAATAATCTTCCTTTTCTCTTCTCTGATTTTAAAGGAACACTATAATTTGGAAAAACAAGTATTTCCCCAACTAACTTTTCTTCTGGTCTGCATATCCTTAGAATGTATTTTACTTAATTTTAAAGTGTCATGATTTGACTTTCAGCAGCACATTTTCTTTGCTCCAATAAGCCTACTACAGGAAATACAATTCTGCTTTTAGAAACCTTGGTATCACATCTATGTCTGCAATTCCCATCTATTTCTTTCCTAGGTTTTAAAGACAGCAATTATCAAAATTTAAAGGCAGCTAGTTAAAGAAGGAAAAAGGAAAATCATTCATATGCTTGAAATTCAGCTGATGAAACAGTACAAATAATGACACAATATATTCTAGGCATCGTGTGGTTCTAAGAGACAATCCCACAGTACCCTGCAGCGCCTGTGTCTGTGTGACCTATGCCACACAATGTGTTTCCAGTTGACTCTAAATAAGGACAGTACCACCAGGGACTGGACTCATTTCTTTGCTAATTTAAAAAACAAAACAAAACAGGTGAGGTGGATATAGATGACATGCATTTAGTATTATTATCTATCTAGTCTGTTTAGGAGAATCATACTAGGCCTACTAAGGTTAATTAAAAAGTTTTAAGACAAACCAGTTTGGGTAACTTTCATTGTCTACCCAGGATCCTGTTTATCCCACAAGCCCAGAATTAGACTTGCAAATCTCAACTTGACCAAGTTGGTTCTTGGTACGCACTGGCAAGAGCAGAGTCAATGTGAATCAGACAACTGTAACACCAAAGTTTAAAACTGTTGTATCTTAAAAAGTAATTGAAAGTTTTAAACGAAATATCCAGTTTAAAAAAAAAATCCTGGATAGTCCCTGGGATTTATCATATGGAATGTGATATGGATCTTATTTCAGATCAACTAAAGATTAAGACCCGAGATATCACAAAGGGTTTCCTTGGAGAGAAAACTGTTGATCATGTATCTGTTCCAAGTAAGAAGATATCAGTGTCATGCTTTTCTTCAGGTTATAGTCCTGGGTTGCAAATCTCAGGCTGGGATTTCACTTTAGCATTCAACATGCTCTTTAGAATAGCCTATGTTTAACAAGGAGAGAGGTATTAAGGGTGGAGAAGAGAAGGGGGTGGGGGACAGGAGCAGTGGGAGAACACACGTGACAGGGCTTAATTCCTCTGTTCTTTCAACTTCTTATAGACTTCCTGCTCAGAATCTGATCCAACACCATGATGCTGACAATAGCAGAAAATTTTAGGTAACCCTCTGAACGCTGGTCCTATTCAAGAATGCTCCCACACTGGACAACTAAAATAAACAGAGACAAGGATGCAGAAAAGTATCCCTAGTCCTAATAGAATGGACATGTTCAGAGTTTCTTAGCATCCATGTCAAAGGGAGCAGAGGTTTTGATGGCAAGTACAATTTGAAGATACCCTGACAGTCCTTTTCTTGTATCTGCTGATCAGAAAATTTATTGATGCTCATATATGGAAGAGAACATGTATCTACATTGTTCTGAAAATGCTGAGACCGTGCATGGGCCAGAAACATGGGCTAGTAAAGTCAGACGACCAATGAAAAATAACAGGAAAAAAAAAAGTGTAATATTAGTCTCTTTTAACATGCCTCATCAAAGGTTCACAAAATATCAATATATCTGACTAAAGACCTCCCCTTCTCAAAAAAATATAATCCTTTCACAAAATAGAAAAAGCAACTGTTAGGGGAGCTGCATTTAAAAATACATATGCACTTATGTACAAATAAATTGCCAGAGCTGAAAATGCCTTCATTGATATGAGTTAGACAATTTTCCTATAAAGTTACTGTATGATTCAGTGCACCTCTTAAAATATATTTTTTAAGCAATCTTATGTATTTAAGCAAAAAGTTTCCATTACAAAAGATAAAGAAGCTTATATTTTCCAAAATAGCAATTACTTTCTATCCCTGTAACTTGGTCCCGGTCACACAGTACTGCAAGTGCTCTTCAAAACATTTGTAGGTGCTCAAAAGATTTATAGGGGTAAAAATTTCCATTACCAAAAGATTAGAATGTCTAATTGTTTCCACAGGTGTTATTGCAAAGCATTGCAACAGCGATATTTGTGATTCTGCAGCTAAAATCTTCAGCCTTTTGTCAACCAGCATTACTGTTTTTCCTTTCTGATAACATTCTAATAGCTTAACAGAAGAATTTCAAGGATGCAATCCAGCTAGCTTAAAGAGAAACAGGTCTGAACAAAACTGGCATCAACTACAACAGGTCTGAACAAAACTGGCATCAACTACAACCCAGGGCAGAGCCAACATTTTCACTCTGATGGTGCCACTCGCTTGTGTTTTAGTAATTACGGAAGTGCACCATAATAGGTTACAGTGCCTCTAGGTGAGTGAGGCAACAATAGGCAAATCTGAAAAAAGAAAAAACCCACCACAGTCCTGATTTGATTTAAAGCAATCATGCAATTTCATTATACCCACACCTTCCAAAAACACCTTTTACATGGCAAGCAGTTATTGATGATGCATGTGGCTTTTGTCACAGTGATGCATTAGGTAAGCAGGTGTGTGCTGAGTACCAGGGGGCATTCCGAAGTGAATCTCTATCATCTTCCACTTTTCGTGTTTAAGGTTCTGCCTATATATTTAAAAAAAAAAAAAAAAATAGTCAGTTGCATTGTGTTGGTAAGAAAATTCACCCTGCCTTTGATAATTTAAACGTTAGGAACACATATTGGAATCACAATAAATTATCCCCATGTGACTGATAAAAGCAAATCTTGGGTTTTAGGATCAGAGCCCAGTTTTAAATCACAGTTATCAACCTGCTAAATAAGAAAGTGGGAATAAATTCATTTTCAAAAACTGCTGAGACCCCTCCCAGAGGTACTGTTCCACTCACACCTAGGTGAGTGGAGTGTGTGTGTGTGTGGGGGGGATGGTTAGCTCAATAAAGGGGCCCTATAGTGGGTGACATGAGGTGAAGCACAGTACCAGTATGGCACACCTATCCTAATAGCTGACCCAATCTCCCAAGAGTCTTCACTGACTCGTCCCTTCAGGATGGTTCCAGGATCCAACCACTAAACAGACACCTGGCACAGGAGGCCAGTACCCAAGCTTTACATTTTACATATTTTAAATATCACTTTCCAATGGCAGGGATCTGAAAGGAGAAACTCCTATTCAGGTCCTGATTAGAATCTATTAAAATAGCCATGTTCATGGTTTTCTAGCTGAAAATTATAAGTACGAATATCTACTTTTCTCAGGATAGGTAGGTACCATGTGGGACACCCTCTGTCGCCTCTGGCAGCCATGGGGGTACACGGGCTTCTCCCAGGGTTTCCGTAACTTTCCATTGCTCGATGCAAATGGGAGATCGGTATTTTTAATATCAACAAACCATTGGAATTCTTTTAATGATTCAGAACAAATACATTTGGTAGCCTCTAGGCTACCATTTCTGATGACTTTCCTTCATTTGTCTTGTCTTGTTCAGCTCTGCGATGGGATGGGTCTGCCAGTTGTAATCTATGCTGCAGCCAGGCCTGCTAGGGCTGTGAACATTCTTTTGGTTGTCTTTCTTACCTCTTCCTACCGTGTAGTAATTGAAGACGTAGAGTTGTCTTTATATAAGATCCCTAGCAGGTTTTCTGTGTTTTTCTACATGTGTATAATATAGAGAAGGTAGGAAAGGAGAGAAGAAAGGGGAACTTCCACCTTTTAGTACACTGCACCCAAGAATGCTCAGTTGCAGCCTTAGGCTATAGACTATGTAATAAATTACTAACAAAGGAAAAGAATAAATGATCAGAAAGGAGATAAATACCAAACTGATCTTAAAGATGTTGTTACTTCTTATCTAAGAAGATGAAATATAAGTTGTTATAACCCATAAAACCTGAGTGGCTGGTGAAATGTAAATACTGTTCCATGGACTTTCCACTCCAGTTCCATGTGTTCCTCCTGCCCAGGTGGAACTAACTCAGTCACCTGAAAATTGTGTGCTGAAAAGGTGGGGATGCCCAGAGCCCTTACTGCCGTTCGGATGATGTACTGGGATCAAGTAAACATCAGTGTATAAAGACCACCTTTAATACTTGGGCCAACAACACATTTTTTACCTCCTCCCTTCACCTGTCTTGTCCACCTTTGAGATGGGCCTGCCAGTCAGACTCTGTGCTGCACCAGACCTCAGGATATTCATAGAAATCCTGAGAAACTTCTTAAAGAAATCATTTCTTAGAGTGAAAAAAGCCACCCTGCAGAGTCTCTTAAGACATCCACATCTTTGGGCAAAATGAGCACAAAGATAGCAAGTAAAAACTATTTTTTACTTGCATTGAACAATGATGAACAATGATGTCCACTGGATTTATACATCCATTATGCTACTCCAACCCCAGTTTTTTCTAGTTCTGTGAAGAGAAATCCAAAGTGCTTAGTATCTTTGGACGAAACATGTTATAAAAGTACTATAATTTCCCTAACCAGTATTCCAATGTTCTATCTTTATAAACATAGCTTTAAATATTATATGTGTGGGTTTGCCTCTGTTTAAAACCTGTGCATGGAAACCACCCACAACCATCTGTGGACTTGCTGATTCAAAGACAAAGCAAGACTTCATATCAGCGATGAACTGCAGGTGCTGGTATGTAATTTATATTATTGCTAGTCTCTGCCTTCCTCCCACAGGTGTTCCAGAAATGGTTAAATCCTGGGCGGCCGTAAAAGACCTATTACTTACAGACATCAAAGTTCCCAGTAATGTACTTTCATTTCAATTCAGTGCTAAAAATAGACACTTTAGAAATCAGTTTCAATCTGAAATACAGTCAAAACATCAATTACTATGTACTCTATAAAGAGTACAAAGAAATGTACC